AAATCGCAAAAATAGCATAAAAATTTGGCCTCTAGACTAAAATACCCCCTTAAGGTGTCTAGTAAGCCACGAACTCCGCGTTGACGATGGCGACGCTATATCGCGGTAGAAATTATAAGCTTGTTTGTCGTACTAGGTCCATTCTACATATAATTTGTCATATATTATATATTTTGGTGTTATAAATCGTAAACCGTGATAATTCTACAAAATATGTTGTATGTCGATATTGTAAGCAGTAAAAATTGATCAATCATAGTCGAATGTGAAAAGAATACTCGACTTGGAAGAGAATAACGGACCTACTATGAAAAGTGTTGACGACGAATTTTGTCTTGTGTGCCATTTCGTTATTATGTGTCATGCTTAATTGTGAAAATGTGACTTGTCTCGTACTTATCAAAGTCATAAAAATATATGGATGGAAACTAAAGTATGTTATTATTGAATTTTATATATAAAAGCATATTTTCCACTTCTTTCAACAGCTGTAAAATCGCGAGTTTTCTTGTCTGAATAGGTTTCACTTTACGTGCCTTTTACGACTATTATTACTGATTGTAAGGAAGGAAAAGGATAGTTTTCATCTATTTTTACAAATTTTTTATTTAAAGCAATTTCATTTTTTTATTTTATCTAAATTCTCTTTATTAAAATTGGCACACAAGAAACTTTTATGTATCATTTCGTCATTTCTCGCTTATGACGTCACGATTCTGGATGTGTGAAGTTGGCACTCCCAAGTTTCGAAATCGTAGTTTTGATCAGAGTTCTGGATTACTCAAACGAAGCAGGAAGAGTTCCTGATAGTTTTTAGAAATAGTTCTATTCATTATAATAACGAAAATACCTTTTGAAAAATAGAGGTGCTAAGTTCACACTCAACATTAGCACTGAATAGTTCTGATTAATTTTTTTGTCTTTTGTTGAGTACTAGAGTTCTTGATACAAAAAAAGCTTTTTTAATTAAAAAAAAAAATAAAAAATTAAAAAGAATTTATATCCATTCCGAATAGTTCTGATTAATTGTTTTGATGTCTTTTGTCGAGTACTAGAGTTCCTGATGGATAAAAAATATCAAATCTTTATAATTATTTTATATTGCCGTTGAAAGTCACGAAATGATTGAAACAATTTCTCACTCGAATAACTTCTTAATTACTGAGTTCTGGATTATTCAAACGAAAAGGAAAAGTTCTTGATAGTTTTTAAAAATATATGTGTCCATTGTAATGAAAACACCTTTTGAAAAATGGGGGTGCCAAAAATTTATAGTGTGTGTGAAGGTGGCATATCATTTCGTGAGAAGTCATTAAATATTAAGAGTTCTGAGTGTATTTTCCATAGTTCTATAGTTCTAGATATGTTATACAAATAGTTCTGGCCATTAAAGCCAAAAAATAGCCAAAGTGCAAACTGCTGCGTGCCTCAGTTTGTACTTTGGCTTTTTTCGCTTTAATGGCTAGAACTATTTGTTTAACCTATTTAAAACTATAGAGCTATTGAAAATACACCCAGAACTCTCAATATTTAATAACTTCCCACGAAATAATATGCCAGCTTCACATATACTATAAATTTTTTTTTATAAAAATTAAAAAAAATTTTTTATCAGGAAGTCTAGTACTCGGCAAAAGCCATCAAATGAATTATTCAAAACTATTCGGTGCTAATGTTGGGTGTGAAGTTGGCACCCCCATTTTTCAAAAGGTGTTTTCGTTGTTATAATGGACACATATATTTTTAAAAACTATCAAGAACTTTTCCT